CATGAGTGATGTGGTATTCGCCTGGGAATCTCCCGATACCTTGGAACCGATCTGGGTACTTATCTACCAGATCCTGTGTAGTCTTGATCATGTTTGGTCTGCATCTCTGACGCAACTCACAGTTCACTAGAACTAGATGCATCCTGACTGAACTCTGCAATCCGTATGGCAGTGTATCTACAATGAAGAAGTTATACAGTAGGCTTGCGGGTGCACTATGTGAGAGAGAGGGAGGATTGAGGAGTCCTGAAAAGGACTCCGGTAATCTTTCTTGAAGAAGTTGTTGCGGAACCACTTCCCATCTTTGTACTGGCAGGGAATATCAAACAACCATATTGTTGTATTGCTGTCTCATTGTAAGCATACAATCTGACATGTCGCAGTATTACAGCTGACTTAAGAGGATACTCCTGGTCATCTAGGAGCTCTGGAAAAACTTTCCTGAAGCACCGACGAGGCAACACATTCCCCTGTGCTCCTGTGTCCACCTTTACTCTCAAAATGTGGTTACTCAGCTTGTTCCTCATGCAAAACTTCAAAGTTGCGAAAAGCTCATCGCTGTCATCAATATAACATAGATTGACTCAATAGAGATATCATCCAACTCGCTCTGTAGATCATCATCATCTGCAGTACTGGCAAAAGGATGCAATTTTTTTTTGCTGAGGTAGGGGTTCAGCTTTTACTTCGGTTCCTCCGATTTCTTTTGTCTCGTCTGGTCTGTCTGGACATAGACTGAGATCTCTGTTTACTGTCACCTGATGATCTGCACAGTTTCTTCCAGTGACCTTTCATGCCACATTTGTGACACTGTGACTTGAATGCAGTTCAATTCTTTGGTGGATGTCTCAATCCACAATGCTTGCAGGTACTGGTGTACATAATGTACCGAGGCTCTATCCAGACTGTTCAAAAGACTCATGTGTGAGTCACTAGCCTCGTGTGTCCTGGATATGATGATGCAGCTTCATCTAGCTTGAGATGCTCACACCTTTGCTGAGAGTAGGATCTTTTGTACCTCTGAGTGCTTGATCCCAGCAATCAAAACTTTGATGATCCTCTCAACAGACCCTTCAGTCTTGAAGTTACACTTTGCTAGTTTTGTGTGGCATCTTAGAACAAATTCATCAATAATCTCTGATGCCCCCTGTCTGTACCTATGGAATTCCAATCTATCAATTCAAAAAATTCTCCTGGGGCTCTAGGTGCATGGGTGGAGTATTAATGCTTTCCAAACGTTCTTGGGGGTCGTTCAGTTTTTAATTCTTCTGTCATCGTCCACGTATTGAACATCCCAAGTCCTTCAACTCCTATCCATAGTATCACGTAGGTATGCTGTTCCTCTTCAGGACACTTTTTTTTTTGAACCACAAGTTGGCAACTTGTTTAAACTCTTGCAATGGTTATGAACGGTCCGGGTTGGACCAGTCCATCCTGGGACTTGGAATAGCTCCACTAGCCATGGCAATACCCATTATTGAAACCTTAGTACGAGAACATCAGCAGTGCAAACAATTGCTTTTATAATATATATTCAAATACAAACTTTACAGGTTAAAGACAATTGCCAATGTGTGAACAAAACTTTTGTCATTCCGACTCAATATGATGATTTAGCTCATGCAACAAAATTACTGTATGCTAAGTTACTTCCATACAACAGTAGAACCACATTGATACAAATATCAATATTTGACAGGATCTAGATCCTATCTAGCATGAAATGAAAATGACAGAATTCACAGAATCAGATCACACTGTTGAAACTAGTCTTACACTTGTCTTACTCTTAGGCCTACAGACTTACAGTATAACTACAGGCTACACATGCATGAATGAATTTAAATGCATCAACTGAAGTTCATATAGATCTAGGCCTACTTCTACTAATACCAGTACTATTTTGTACTATAAATTATAGTCCATAATATCCGTGCAGCAATTCTGTTATATTACTCTGCAACAACTAATCATGACTTGTTATGGTCTAAATTTAGTCGTTTATAGTTCAAATTTAGCGTTCATGTTCAATATGCCAAGTCTTGCTCTCTTTAATAATAATAATAATAATAATATTTTAAAGTCCACTCCAAATTTTATTAAACCGAAAATGGAAATTCTTTTTGCCCATTTGATCGTGAGCCCGGCAGCCACTGAGCAGCGCCAGATCGATGTTGCTCTATCCCTTTATTTTTGAACACCAAACAAGGTAGCAGCAACTCCCATCTTTTAACGTCTTTTGGTATGACGCGGCCGGGGTTCGAACCCACTTGATCCGCTTGATTCGCTGTTCAGCATAGCGTTCAAATCTTGTTCAAGATTAGATCTGAATCCTGCATGATCACCAGCATTAGCCTCTAGGCTAGGGTCTAGCGTTCCTGGGCCAGGTCAGGACTTCCAACTATATAGTCACCATGCTCACTCAATTGAGACAACGTACAGCGTCATCAAAACGTATAGTCAGTTCTCGGCGGTACGATCGCTCAAAATTGGATCACATACTCAAAACGAATTGGCTGAGCTTTATAACCGGTAGACGACAAGTTACCGTCGATACTCACTGTGCTGCAGCCCGAAAGTAGAAAACTCGTTCCATATCTGTTCAAGATATCTTGATCCATTATCATAAAATCGTAAAGGCACAGGTCCGCATCTGGCTGTCACCATGTCAAACAAGCATTAACAAGTCCAAGCAAAATTTGATGCTATAAAGTTGTAATGGTTTTATTGGGTGAATAACACCGGCAAAACAACTGGCTGGGCCGGGACCGCGATGATAAAATATGAGCGCATATAGTTGTACGCATATACATTATGACCTCAGCTACATCAATGCGTATATAAAGTAGCTCATGCATATAAGACATATTACTAGAGGCAGGGTCAGTATTATAATCAAAATGAAAGAAAACTAAAGATAAGATAGAAAATGAGTCCCATTAATTGCCTTGTGAATCAGCTTAAAAGAACTTGCCTTGCCTATATGTAAATACTATTGCCCATTATATTTCGCCTTATGCTGTATGCTTGGCTTGCGCTGTGCTGTCATTGGTTCTTAGTTTTGAAATTCATGCATATCTTGTTAGGGTTAAACTCAGGGGGGGGGGAGGGCTACAACTACAACTCTTCAAACCGCCAAGATAAAATTCCCTTAAAGAAAAGAGACAAAAAGGGTTAGGCAGGGTCAATATACAATCACATGATTAATAAAGATAGATGGAAAATTGATGGGTCACAATGACTTGCCTTGAGTGTGAGTCACCTTAACAGAGCCCGATCTGGCTTGCCCTTAGTCGTTTCAATCATCTTAGGTTCCTTTATTTCTAATTCATACATATTTTGTTGATGTAAAACTCAGGGGAGGCTAAAATCCTCAATTTTAGCCGGCCAGGCTCCCTCTGGGATGCAACCCTAGATTGCATCCGTATTGCCTGTGAAGAGGGAAACCCTGATATCAAGTGGCTTCAGCTCATGATCAGCGCATACATTGCTATGCCTTACCTTTTTTAAAGATATTGGTCAGCTGATATGTAAATGCGTCACTTGCCATTATGCATTGCCCTGTGATGTGTCAAGTGTCTTTGGTTTAGTTTAGTTTTTTCATGCATCTTTTGTAGAGGTTAAACTCATGGGGGGGGGGCAGCTATACAACTGCAGCTCTTCAAACCACCTAGATAAAATTCCATCAAAGAGAAGAGACAAAAAGGGTTGGGAGGGTCAGTTTTAACAATCACAAGATAGAAAATGGGTCATACTGCCTTCCTTTGTGGGTCACCTTAACAGAGCTTGACTTGGCTTGCCCAAAGCCCTTTCAAATCTATCTTAGGTTCCTTTTTTTCTAATTCATACATCTTTTGTTGATGTTGAACTCAGGAGAGGCTAAAACCCTTAGTTTTATCCAGCCAGGCTCCCTCCGGAATACAACCCTAGCTTGCGTCCGTTTGGGTTGTGAAGGGGGAAACCCTGTTATCAAGTGGCTTCGGCTCATGATCAGCACATGCATTGCTTCCATGAACATTACCATCCTTTACCTTTTTTTAGATATTGCCCAACTGATCTGTAAATGTGTCACTTGACCATTACGCATTGCCCTGCGATGTGTCAAGTGTCTTTGGTTTAGTTTAGTTTTTTCATGCAACTCTCAAAACCACCCAGATAAAATTCCCTCAAGGAGAGAAACAAAAGGGGTTGGGCAGGGTCAGTTTAAACAATCACAAGATAGAAAAGATGGATAGAAAATGGGTCACACTGCCTTTTTTGTGGGTCACCTTAACAGAGCTAGACTTGGCTTGCCCTAAGCCCTTTCAAATCTACCTTATGTTCCTTTTTTTCTAATTCATACATCTTTTGTTGATGTTAAACTCAGGGGAGGCTAAAATCTTCAATTTTAGCCGGCTAGGCTCCCTTGGGATGCAACCCTAGCTTGCATCTATATGGGCTGTGAAGGGGGAAACCCTGTTTCGGCCCTGATATCTAGTGGCTTCGGCTCATGATCAGCACATACATTGCTTCCATGAACATTGCCATGCCTTGTGGGTCACCTTAACAGAGCTTGATCTGGCTAGCCCTTAGTCGTTTCAATATTGTCTTAGGTTTCTTTATTTCTAATTCATACATATTTTGTTGATGTAAAACTCAGGGGAAGCTAAAATCCTCAATTTTAGCTGGCTCTCTCTGGGATGTAACCCTAGATTGCATCCGTATGGGGTGAAGGGGGAAACCCTGTTATCAAGTGGCTTCGGCTCATGATCAGCACATACATTAATGCTTCCATGAACATAACCATCCTTTACCTTTTTTTAGATATTGCCCAGCTGATCTGTAAATGTGTCACTTCACCATTATGCATTGCCCTGTGATGTGTCAAGTGTCTTTGGTTTAGTTTAGTTTTTTCATGCATCTTTTGTTGGGGTTAAACTCATGGAGGCAGGGGCTATACAACTGCAACTCTTCAAACAACCAGATAAAATTCCCTCAAAGAGAAGAGACAAAAAGGGTTGGGCAGGGACAGTTTTAACAATCACAAGATAGAAAAGATGGATAGAAAATGGGTCACACTGCCTTTCTTTGTGGGCCATCTTAACAGAGCTTGACTTGGCTTGCCCAAAGCCCTTTCAAATCTATCTTAGGTTCCTTTTTTTCTAATTCATACATCTTTTGTTGATGTTAAACTCAGGGGAGGCTAAAATCTTCAATTTTAGCCGGCCAGGCTCCCTCCGGGATGCAACCCTAGCTTGCATCCATATGGGCCGTGAAGGGGGAAACCCTGTTTCGGCCCTAGGATCAAGTAGCTTCGGCTCCTGGTCATACATTGCTTCAATGAATAATTGCCATGCTTTGTTGGTCACCTTAACAGAGCTTGATCTGGCTTGCCCTTAGTCGTCTCAATTGTCTTAGGTTCCTTTTTTTTTCTAATTCATACATATTTTGGTGATGTAAAACTCAGGGGAAGCTAAAATCTTCAATTTTAGCCGGCTAGGCTCCCTCTGGGTTGCAACCCTAGATTGCATCCGTATTGCCTGTGAAGGGGGAAACCCTGATATCAAGTGGCTTTGGCTCATGATCAGCACATACATTGCTTACATGAACATAGCCATGCCTTACCTTTTTTTTAGATATTGCCCAGCTGATATGTAAATACGTCACTTGCCCATTGTTGCCCTGTGATGAGTCAAGTGTCTTTGGTTTAGTTTTGTGTTTTCATGCATCTTTTATAGAGGTTAAACTCATGGGGGGTAGGGGCTATACAATTGCAACTCTTCAAAACACCCAGATAAAATTCCCTCAAAGAGAAGAAACGAAAAGGGTTGGGCAGGGTCAGTTTTAACAATCACAAGATAGAAAAGATGGATAGAAAATGGGTCACACTGCCTTTCTTTGTGGGCCATCTTAACAGAGCACGACTTGGCTTGCCCAAAGCCCTTTCAAATCTATCTTAGGTTCCTTTTTTTCTAATTCATACATCTTTTGTTGATGTTAAACTCAGGGGAGGCTAAAATCTTCAATTTTAGCCGGCCAGGCTCCCTCCGGGATGCAACTCTAGCTTGCATCCATATGGGCCGTGAAGGGGGAAACCCTGTTTCGGCCCTAGGATCAAGTAGCTTCGGCTCCTGGTCATACATTGCTTCAATGAATAATTGCCATGCTTTGTTGGTCACCTTAAGAGAGCTTGATCTGGCTTGCCCTTAGTCGTTTCAATTGTCTTAGGTTCCTTTTTTTCTAATTCATACATATTTTGGTGATGTAAAACTCAGGGGAAGCTAAATTCTTAAATCTGATATCAAGTGGCTTCAGCTCATGATCAGCGCATACATTGCTTCCATGAACATTGCCATGCCTTACCTTTTTTTTAAATGTTGCCCAGCTGATATGTTAAAGCGTCACTTGCCCATTATGCATTGCCCTGTGATGTGTCAAGTGTCTTTGGTTTAGTTTAGTTTTTTCATGCATCTTTTGTTGGGGTTAAACTCATGGGGGGCAGGGGTTATACAACTGCAACTCTTCAAACAATCCAGATAAAAAAAAAACCTCAAAGAGAAGAGACAAAAAGGGTTGGGCAGGATCAGTTTTAACAATCACAAGATAGAAAAGATGGATAAAAAATGGGTCACATTGCATTGCTTTGTTGGCCATCTTAACAGAGCTCGACTTGGCTTGCCTAAAGCCCTTTCAAATGTCTGGGGTTCCTTTTTTTCTAATTCATACATCTTTTGTAGATGTTGAACTCAGGGGAGGCTAAAACCCTTAGTTTTATCCGGCCAGGCTCCTTCCGGGATACAACCCTAGCTTGCATCCGTTTGGGCTGTGAAGGGGGAAACCTTGTTATCAAGTGGCTCCAGCTCATGATCAACGCATGCATTGCTTCCATGAACACTGCCATGCATTACCTTATTTTAAAGATATTGCCCAGCTGATATGTAAATGCGTCAATTGCCCATTATGCATTGCCCTTTGATGTGTCAAGTGTCTTTGGTTTAGTTTATTTTTTTCATGCAGCTTTTCTAGGGGTTAAACTCATGGGGGCAGGGGCTATACAACTGCAACTCTTTAAACCACCCACATAAAATTCCCTCCAAGAGACAAAAAGGGTTAGGGAGGGTCAGTTTTAACAATCACAAGATAGAAAATGGGTCATACTGCCTTCCTTTGTGGGTCACCTTAACAGAGCTTGACTTGGCTTGCCCAAAGCCCTTTCAAATATATCTTAGGTTCCTTGTTTTCGAATTCATACATCTTTTGTAGATGTTAAACTCAGGAGAGGCTAAAACCCTTAGTTTTATCCAGCCAGGCTCCCTCCGGAATACAACCCTAGCTTGCGTCCGTTTGGGTTGTGAAGGGGGAAACCCTGTTATCAAGTGGCTTCGGCTCATGATCAGCACATGCATTGCTTCCATGAACATTACCATCCTTTACCTTTTTTTAGATATTGCCCAACTGATCTGTAAATGTGTCACTTGACCATTACGCATTGCCCTGCGATGTGTCAAGTGTCTTTGGTTTAGTTTAGTTTTTTCATGCAACTCTCAAAACCACCCAGATAAAATTCCCTCAAGGAGAGAAACAAAAGGGGTTGGGCAGGGTCAGGTTAAACAATCACAAGATAGAAAAGATGGATAGAAAATGGGTCACACTGCCTTATTTGTGGGTCACCTTAACAGAGCTAGACTTGGCTTGCCCTAAGCCCTTTCAAATCTATCTTATGTTCCTTTTTTTCTAATTCATACATCCTTTGTTGATGTTAAACTCAGGGGAGGCTAAAATCTTCAATTTTAGCCGGCCAGGCTCCCTTCGGGATGCAACCCTAGCTTGCATCTATATGGGCTGTGAAGGGGGAAACCCTGTTTCGGCCCTGATATCTAGTGGCTTCGGCTCATGATCAGCACATACATTGCTTCCGTGAACATTGCCATGCCTTGTGGGTCACCTTAACAGAGCTTGATCTGGCTAGCCCTTAGTCGTTTCAATATTGTCTTAGGTTTCTTTATTTCTAATTCATACATATTTTGTTGATGTAAAACTCAGGGGAAGCTAAAATCCTCAATTTTAGCTGGCTCTCTCTGGGATGTAACCCTAGATTGCATCCGTATGGGGTGTGAAGGGGGAAACCCTGTTATCAAGTGGCTTCGGCTCATGATCAGCACATACATTAATGCTTCCATGAACATAACCATCCTTTACCTTTTTTTAGATATTGCCCAGCTGATCTGTAAATGTGTCACTTCACCATTATGCATTGCCCTGTGATGTGTCAAGTGTCTTTGGTTTAGTTTAGTTTTTTCATGCATCTTTTGTTGGGGTTAAACTCATGGAGGCAGGGGCTATACAACTGCAACTCTTCAAAACACCCAGATAAAATTCCCTCAAAGAGAAGAGACAAAAAGGGTTGGGCAGGGTCAGTTTTAACAATCACAAGATAGAAAAGATGGATAGAAAATGGGTCACACTGCCTTTCTTTGTGGGCCATCTTAACAGAGCACGACTTGGCTTGCCCAAAGCCCTTTCAAATCTATCTTAGGTTCCTTTTTTTCTAATTCATACATCTTTTGTTGATGTTAAACTCAGGGGAGGCTAAAATCTTCAATTTTAGCCGGCCAGGCTCCCTTCGGGATGCAACCCTAGCTTGCATCTATATGGGCCGTGAAGGGGGAAACCCTGTTTCGGCCCTAGGATCAAGTGGCTTCGGCTCCTGGTCATACATTGCTTCAATGAATAATTACCATGCTTTGTTGGTCACCTTAACAGAGCTTGATCTGGCTTGCCCTTAGTCGTTTCAATTGTCTTAGGTTCCTTTTTTTTCTAATTCAAACATATTTTGGTGATGTAAAACTCAGGGGAAGCTAAAATCTTCAATTTTAGCCGGCTAGGCTCCCTCTGGGTTGCAACCCTAGATTGCATCTGTATTGCCTGTGAAGGGGGAAACCCTGATATCAAGTGGCTTTGGCTCATGATCAGCACATACATTGCTTACATGAACATAGCCATGCCTTACCTTTTTTTTAGAACTTGCCCAGCTGATATGTAAATACGTCACTTGCCCATTATTGCCCTGTGATGAGTCAAGTGTCTTTGGTTTAGTTTTGTGTTTTCACGCATCTTTTATAGAGGTTAAACTCATGGGGGGTAGGGGCTATACAATTGCAACTCTTCAAACCACCCAGATAAAATTCCCTCAAAGAGAAGAGACGAAAAGGGTTGGGCAGGGTCAGTTTTAACAATCACAAGATAGAAAAGATGGATAGAAAATAGGTCACGCTGCCTTTCTTTGTGGGCCATCTTAACAGAGCACGACTTGGCTTGCCCAAAGCCCTTTCAAATCTATCTTAGGTTCCTTTTTTTCTAATTCATACATATTTTGTTGATGTAAAACTCAGGGATGGCTAAAATCTTCAATTTTAGCCGACTAGCTAGGCTCCCTTTGGCATGCAACCCTAGCTTGCATACGTATGGGCTGTGAAGGGGGAAACCCTGATATCAAGTGGCTTCGGCTCATGATCAGCGCATGCATTGCTTCCATGAACATTGCGATGCATTGTGGGTCATCTTAACAGAGCTTGATCTGGCTTGCCTTTAGTTGTTTCAATTGTCTTACGTTCCTTTATTTCTAATTCATACATATTTTGTTGATGTAAAACTCAGGGGAAGCTAAAATCTTCAAGTTTAGCCGGCCAGGCTCCCTCCGGGATGCAACCCTAGATTGCATCCGTCGAAGGGGGAAACCCTGAGAGGTTTTGGCTCATGATGAGCGCATACATTCCTTTCATGAACATAGCTATGCCTTACCTTTTTTTTAGATATTGCCCAGCTGATATGTAAATGCGTCACTTGCCATTATGCATCGCCCTGTGATGTGTCAAGTGTCTTTGGTTTACCGGTAATTTTGTTTTTTCATGCATCTTTTGTTGGGGTTAAACTCATGGAGGCAAGGGCTATACAACTGCAACTCTTCAAAACACCCAGATAAAATTCCCTCAAAGAGAAGAGACAAAAAAGGTTGGGCAGGGTCAGTTTTAACAATCACAAGATAGAAAAGATGGATAGAAAATGGGTCACACTGCCTTTCTTTGTGGGCCATCTTAACAGAGCACGACTTGGCTTGCCCAAAGCCCTTTCAAATCTATCTTAGGTTCCTTTTTTTCTAATTCATACATCTTTTGTTGATGTTAAACGCAGGGGAGGCTAAAATCTTCAATTTTAGCCGGCCAGGCTCCCTCCGGGATGTAACCCTAGCTTGCATCCATATGGGCCGTGAAGGGGGAAACCCTGTTTCGGGCCTAGGATCAAGTAGCTTCGGCTCCTGGTCATACATTGCTTCAATGAATAATTGCCATGCTTTGTTGGTCACCTTAACAGAGCTTGATCTGGCTTGCCCTTAATTGTTTCAATTGTCTTAGGTTCCTTTTTTTCTAATTCATACATATTTTGGTGATGTAAAACTCAGGGGAAGCTAAAATCTTCAATTTTAGCCGGCTAGGCTCCCTCTGGGTTGCAACCCTAGATTGCATCCGTATTGCCTGTGAAGGGGGAAACCCTGATATCAGTGGCTTTGGCTCATGATCAGCACATACATTGCTTACATGAACATAGCCATGCCTTACCTTTTTTTTAGATATTGCCCAGCTGATATGTAAATACGTCACTTGCCCATTGTTGCCCTGTGATGAGTCAAGTGTCTTTGGTTTAGTTTTGTGTTTTCATGCATCTTTTATAGAGGTTAAACTCATGGGGGGTAGGGGCTATACAATTGCAACTCTTCAGACCACCCAGATAAAATTCCCTCAAAGAGAAGAAACGAAAAGGGTTGGGCAGGGTCAGTTTTAACAATCACAAGATAGAAAAGATGGATAGAAAATAGGTCACACTGCCTTTCTTTGTGGGCCATCTTAACAGAGCACGACTTGGCGTGCCCAAAGCCCTTTCAAATCTATCTTAGGTTCCTTTTTTTCTAATTCATACATATTTTGGTGATGTAAAACTCAGGGGAAGCTAAAATCTTCAATTTTAGCCGACTAGCTAGGCTCCCTTTGGGATGCAACCCTAGCTTGCATTCGTATGGGTTGTGAAGGGGGAAACCCTGATATCAAGTGGCTTCAGCTCATGATCAGCGCATACATTGCTTCCATGAACATTGCCATGCCTTACCTTTTTTTTAAATATTGCCCAGCTGATATGTTAAAGCATCACTTGCCCATTATGCATTGCCCTGTGATGTGTCAAGTGTCTTTGGTTTAGTTTAGTTTTTTCATGCATCTTTTGTTGGGGTTAAACTCATGGGGGGCAGGGGTTATACAACTGCAACTCTTCAAACCATCCAGATAAAAAAAAAAACTCAAAGAGAAGAGACAAAAAGGGTTGGGCAGGATCAGTTTTAACAATCACAAGATAGAAAAGATGGATAAAAAATGGGTCACATTGCCTTGCTCTGTTGGCCATCTTAACAGAGCTCGACTTGGCTTGCCTAAAGCCCTTTCAAATGTCTGGGGTTCCTTTTTTTCTAATTCATACATCTTTTGTAGATGTTGAACTCAGGGGAGGCTAAAACCCTTAGTTTTATCCGGCCAGGCTCCTTCCGGGATACAACCCTAGCTTGCATCCGTTTGGGCTGTGAAGGGGGAAACCCTGTTATCAAGTGGCTCCGGCTCATGATCAACGCATGCATTGCTTCCATGAACATTGCCATGCCTTACCTTATTTTAAAGATATTGCCCAGCTGATATGTAAATGCGTCATATGC